CACGCACGCACGCACGCACACACACACACACACACACACACACACACTACATCAGGGTGAGAAATAAAAGCTTTTTCAGTTTGGTGCCAGTCCAGACTTGGTGAAAATCCAAAACAGTAATTCAGATACATTTTTCACTGTCGTTGTCAACACTGCGTAATATTCTGTGTCTTAAAAATCCTGTTAGTCTGTTCTGCCATCATCTGCTGCTGTGAGGCAAGCCGTGATGGGATTAGAGACCACCTTCATGGCTTAAAAGCACATAGGCTCAGATCAAAACAAACGTCTCAGCATTCTTATTTATTTCACTTTATGTTTATTACATGTTTATAATTGTTTAAATGAGCTTTAATACTCCAGCTAAACAAGTAGAGCAGCCTCGAGTTTATTTTCATTGTGGTCTCAGGTCTGCACAGGTTTTAGATGTAACTCGCCTCAATGGCTGGGATCATCACAAAARAAAGTTGGGCTATTTATTTGGTAAATTGTTGAACTCAAATGCAAATAACTGCTCCACCCGTCCCCCCCGAGGGTCTTTGTTAACCTGGTGGTTCCATGCATGAAGATGCAGAAAGTTGTTAAACTGGAACTAACCTCAGATCTGAGTTGAACCCCTAATAAAACCCCTGAAAATAAAAGGCTGCACCCTTCCCGGCTGAGAAAATCCCAGGATTCATTGCGTCGTCAGCAAACTAAACAGAAAAACTAAGTCTGTGGATTTATTTATTTTTTTAGTACAAAGTAGATAATAATAATAATAGTTTGGAAATACTTCACGGACCGAATATTTTTTTAAATGTAAGTTTAGCAACATAGCTGATGAAGTTTATGCTGCAGATGTTAAATAAAGTGCAGTTAAAGTGCTGATACAGAAGCTTAACCCAAACTGTTTCTATTTATTTACATGTAACGTTTTTAATTTGTCAGTTATTCCTCCAGTGAAAAGACGTACTAATGTTCTAAAAGGCATGMGATATAAAARGCATCATTYTGGTAACGGGGTAAAGRGTGGTCACACAAACAAAGTCATCCAAAGACCACACCTTCTCATTTCACAGCCATTTTCTGCTCCGGACTGCGAGGGGTGGGGCCTCTATGAACCACGGTTAAATGTGGTTTGCAAACCCTGAATTGGGACAAACTCAATGCGTTGTAAAAGTGAAGCCTGATTCCACCTCCCCTCTTTAAAGCTKATTTTTTTCTCTTTTGACATGGATGGCTTCTTTTACTGCTATCTCAAACCATCTCATCTGTTCAAAATATGAACGCTGATGTTTTCCAAAGAAAGCTCTTTATTCCTTGAGATGTAAGAGGACCTGATAGTCTTGACCTGAAAAGCGGACTGTGCTGTGTTGAATCATGTGTKGGTGTAGTTGGTCTTTGGTTTCCTCTATATAAAGGTCAGAACACGACTCACTGCAAACACAARGCTGCTCCTCTTCTGTTTGGCTGTTTTGTCCTTTTAGGTGAACCAGTTTGTGTCTGAAGATGTTTTTATTGGGATATGGTGTTTGGGAAATAATATTTGAGTTTTTTTCCCGACATTAATGACTCAACTTGAATGATGTCTTTGGATTATTGGTGGATAACTGCAGAGTTGTAAAGTAACTAAGTACAAATACTTTGTTACTGTACTAAAGTAGAAATTTTGGTTGTTTGTACTTAACTTGAGTAATTATTTTTCAGCCTACCTTTTACTTGTACTCCTTATATTTTCCACACAATTATCTGTACTTTCTACTCCTTACATTTTTAAACAAGGTAAGAAATAGAAAGTTGTTACTCCTGATTCATTTCGGCTCATTCTTGTTGAACAAATGATAAATTGCGCCTCCTGGAAAGAGTGAATCTAATTGTAGTTGGATGAGGAGTATAATATATACCATTCTGACACCAAATTGCACACAATCCATCACAGCTGCACACCTTTAGAAAAAATGATATTTTTGGAGAGGTCACCTCCCAATAAATGTCATTTTGGAAAACCTAACCGCTCATTTATACTCAATACTTTTACTTTTAATACTTACCTGTTAGCCTTTGGGCTAGCACAGATGCTATATTGCCTTATATGCATTAGCTCAGCACTAGTGTGACAAACAAGCTAAACTGAGGTCCTCCATCCATATTTTCATTTACAGGCTGAGTCATTTCTACCTTCTCCTCTCTGTCAACGCTCTCTGGTTTCATTTAAAAGAGCCGATCATCAGATATTGTCCAAGATTAACCTTCAGGGTGGATATAGCTCGCTAGCAGCCTTGCACCAAGGACCTATCCACGTCATCATTTACCCAGAATGCTTTGCATGCAAATAAAATGGCCCCGTCCGTGTAATATATTTTTAAACTTTTAGTTTAAAAATTATAAAAACTGAACATCCTATAGTATTTTTACAGTCTTTATTTTACAGTTAAAATATATGTTTATCAAATAAAGTCTATTGTTACAACTAACCATGGATCCCTTTAAATGCTTTTTTGATGCTTGTGTGTCTTTTTGCAAAATATCTGATGGATCCCTGGATGGATTTTAGTTCAAATTTCAGGAAAACATCTACAACTGATTAACTTTTGGAACCCAATTTAAGATGATCACCACAGCGAGCTCACCTCTGAAAACAAATAAGAATTTCTCAGTCAGCTTTACAGATATTGAACTGAAATTTGATGGGGTAGTAGCTGATCGTCATTCACAACACGTTCTCTTAAGAGTCTGGATAAGGGGCCTACAGTGGAGCAAACAATGGGGGAGGCTTATGCGGGTGCTTCATCTTTTCCACCTAAACTTTATATGCTGGTCTGGAGATTTGAACCTGTGATCTCTCGATCGCAATCGCCTTCCCTGCCCTCTGCAAACAGCTAAACGATAAATATACCCACGCTCTCTAAAGTCTTGCAAACTTCCCGTACCTCCCTCTGTAGGTCTGATTATCCTTAACGCCTGGTATGGAAAGTTTGTGTCCGACACCAGCCAGAAGCAGGACAAAGCCAAGGTGATCGACGTCACTGTGCCGCTGCAGTGCCTGGTCAAAGACTCCAAACTCATCCTCACCGAGGCGTCTAAGGTGTGTTACACTCTGCGTGTCGTTAAAAAGCTCAGCACTCTGACACGGTAACAGCTCATGCCAACAATATCTCTGCACACAGGCGGGGCTGCCGGGCTTTTACGACCCCTGTGTCGGAGAGGAGAAGAGCCTAAAACTGCTGTACCAGTTCCGAGGCGTCATGCACCAGGTCATTTCTGCAGACGCCGAGCCGCTGCGGGTACCCAAGCAATGTTAGTATTCAGCACCTTCACCTGTGACTCGTGGAACTGCATGCTAATTACAGCATCGGCCAGGCTCGCAGAGAAGTTAAAACTGTACCTTTTTTTGTTTTGTCTTGTCAGCTCACAGGATCGAATCTGAGTCCTAGGAGCCTGTTGCTGCAGCAGAAATGAAGATGAGACGAACTTTGTGTCCACAGAAAACTGAACGGGACAAATCAGCACTCCCATTTGTCTCTTCCCTCCGTCGTCGTATTTGTGAACGTGTCTGACGAGTCCGCCCACTCCTTCCCTTCCCCCAGAGGCCGATTCTCAGGTCCAGCTGCTCGTCGGCTTCTCCTGACAGACCTGCTCACATGTCCGTCTGCTGCAGGAGATCGGCGCTGGTCCAGAACTTAGTTTTCTGTCTGAGGTGGCTGATCGTCACCACAAGCGTGATGATTTTCCCTCGGTAAGGAGCTCAACATGGACGATCCCTGATATTCATGTAATCAAGAAGCTGTAACTTGTGTTGTGCATCACCCTAATAGATTAGAGAAGTTAAACATTAAAGGGATAGTTTGGATCTTTTGAAGRGGGCTTCTGTGGAAAAGTTATAAACAACCAGCTTCCTATTAATATAAACTCTAGAAAAATGTGAAAAACGATGGTCTTAACACAACTTAAAGCTAAAAAAAAWTTTCATTTCTGACCATTCAACAATATTACATTCCTGCCAGAACTAACCCAGAACTGTACTGTCGGTGGAGCTCTCCAATCCATTTTAATCTTGCTTATCAATCCAGTCAGAATAAATAATTTCTCCAAAATGACGTTCTCCAAAGCACTATCTGCAGCAGGTAAGATAATAAGTGTTCATAATTTTTCCACAGATCAAAATCTGAACTATCTCTAGGTGAAGGTTTCTGGTAACACTATGCAGGCCAAGAGTCAGAAAGCCTGAACCTAACTAGGATTAAAAAATGCATCTTCTCTTAATTTGCAATCTATTTTTGTGACACGGCTGCTGCTCTTCATGGTGCCAGTCGCTGTTTGTGAGTGTAAACTAAATTTAGCTGTAGAGGTTTTAAAGGGAGGAGGAAAAGTTTAGAGTTGTCTTCTGGTAGTTGTGATCCAACTAAATGCAGACCAGCTTTAATGCTTCACTTAGCTTTTTTTAAATACAGTTAAACACACACAAAAAGCTAAAATCCAACTTGGATTTAACCTGAGTTTATTGATCATCTCTGAGGAAGTGATGCTGAATCTGAATGATTTATTTTGGTAAAATGAATAGACGACTAGAAGTCGGCACAAAGACATCAGTAACAGATTTAAAACTTAAAACGATTATATTAAAGTAAATGTTTYCAGCAAATATCAAAAAACTATGAAAACTGCTACTTTACCGCTAAAGGAAGTCTCTGCAGTAAACCTGTTTATTCTCATATTGTGTTACTGTAACACAGCAGAACCTCGGAGTCTTTTAGTGGTTAATTCACACACGGTTTGACCTCTGCTGGAACTACTTTCTCAGCAGAATAGTACTRGAAACACTAAACTGCTGATGAGCAATCAAGTGTCGTAGCACTTAAAGATTTTAATTTCAGCTGCACAGTAAAGCTCTCATTTAAGCCTATTTAATTAGATTTTACTCCCTATCTGATTGGTCCATCTGTCTGTAGATGGATTGCGCAATAATGAAGAGATAGTTTCATCTTAAGTTTTTTTTATTTTTGGAGGGGGTAGACTTCATAATGAACTACGGGGAACCCTAAACATTATTAGGAGCACTAAAGTAGGTTATAAGCTCTATTTTATAACTTGTAAAGGTTATATTTTGCACTAAATGTAAGTATATCAGATATATGAGTCTACTTATCATTAAAATGGTGCTGATCACTTTAATTGTAGCGGTTTGCTTTAACTAAAGTAGAAACGGGGGGAGGATCTGACTGATCATGTGTTGGAGCCACTACTGCAGCACCCATTTGTCCCGCTACCTTTGTAAGGTGTTCGGTCAGAATCTTCTGGTCCCTTCTGCCACCATGAGGCGGGCCGAGTCTGCTCCCTGGTTTTACATACCAAACTGACCCATCGTGTGTTACTGTATGACTGAAAGGAGCCTGAGCTCTGTCTTGTAAAGCCAATAAATGTGGAATAAGAACGGCTGCGTCAATTAATTATCGCCATAGTTGGGRGATGTTCGTCTGTTAACAAAATATCTCAGGACCTACTCATCAAATTTTAGTCAAACGTACAGGACTTAGTCCTAGGATGAACTTCTACAACTGATTAACTTATGGAGTCAGCTCGATTCAAGATGGCGGCCACAGCCACCTGAACTTACAAAACACTAAAATGGCTAAAGCTCAGTCAATTTTACAAATATTGCCCTAAATTTTTTTGTGGCGGTAGTTAATTCTGAGCCACAACAACTACTCTGAGCATGAAGGGACTTTAAAAGATAATCATTTAAAATGTTGCCATTAATTACTTGAAGCCAGTGCTGGCTGTCTGTTAGCAAATTATCTTGTGAACCATTTTATAGATTTTAATGAAATATTCTGCAAGTTGTACCCATACAACTGATTACCTTTTGGAGTAAACCTGATTCGAGATGACCGCCGCAGCCAACTGCAGTTAAAAACCACAGACATGGTTATAATTCAGTCATTATTACGTGTCGTGTAGCCACTTGGTGCGACAGTAGCCACAAGTAATTCACACGATCTACTTCAAGTGTTACTCATTGAACAAAACCTTTGCTTTAAACTTTAGCATTCACCGCTTTGTCACACCTGTTTGTTAGCAAAATATCTCACGAGCTAGTGGACAGATGGCTGATTAACTGTTGGAGACCATCTCGTTCKCATTAGCCAACACAAAACACAGCTGAGTTTATTTTTACGGACGTTGAGCTAAAATTTGATGTGGTAGTAGCTGAGTGTGATTCACAACACATACATCTCAGGAGTTTGCTCATAAGGTTCAACCAAACTAATAACCTTTATTTCTCAACATAAGATCAGATATAAAAGCTGGCAGGTGATATGCATTGCTTAAAATGACAGTGCTTTAAAAAAAGTCTTAATCAGGGTAAAATGGTACCTCTTTATTTACAATAGTTTACAATAGTTTCACAGAAACAGTTTGAACACAGCACAGACAACGCCTTCTCAGTAAGGGGACAGGACAACCCAGGATCAGAATAAACAAGCCTATCACAATGAGCTTTCTTAAACCATATTCATGTCTTTAAGACGCACACAGCAACTTTTGGATTTTGTGCCTTTAGGTCCTCAGATTCTAAGACAAAACATCCCGAGGATTGACAAATTATTTTCTGGTTAATGGTCCGAAACGTCTTAAAAACACAACCTCAACGATTGTTGGTAGAATCCAGCTAACCGACATTTGTGAAACATCAGAAGAGTGCACAAAATAAAAAGCTTAATCACTTTGAAACTCTTAAGTTTTAAGAACTAAAACATTCATTGTGGTTGTTAGCCGTTTCCTGGTCAAGTCCTTGATTCTGCATTGTAAAACCCCATTCTGGACTAAGATCTGTCTACAGTATGGCTTTTTATAGAATAATCAGAAACAATAATTAGTCTACACACACAGGCCTGACAACAGATGGCACGTGAATCACAAAGCTTACTTTTTTTTCTGAATTGGAGCAAGTCTTAATAAAGAAAACAAAACCTTTTTCATTAAACTTGCTTTATATGGAAGTGAATACTGCTATGAAAATGATGATGTAAGGAACCGAAATCTGCTCCTGCAGAGCTAAAATAAAGCAATGGTTCCCACCTTGAAAGAAAAAAAAAAGAAAACCCCAAGGATTTCAGATGAGACAACTTCTGGCACAACATGGCACCTCCATCACTCACATGCATATTTTAACCTGGACTATTAAGCAAATCTCTCTTCCAGACAACTCTGGTTACAATCATTTCCTTCTGTTAATGTTAAAACAATCCATTACAGAAATATATTTGTCTCTGAACATTTCGTCATTGCCTTGAGTCTGTTAACAACTAAAAACAAAAACAGTCGAGAACAAAACTACAGCTCAATACTGTCGTGAAATGCAGCGAAGTCATACTGACCAGAAGCAACTAAAAACTGCTGTTCTATCYGATTCTTTTAAGTTTTATGTTTCTTTTTCTTCTTTTTGATTACAATTTCTTTTAAAAAAGATTTTAATGAACTATGAACACTTAAAACACTGAGAAACAGGTTGTGAGGTCTCCACATACAGTCGACTAACATCTGGATTGTGAGGCTGGAAGACGGTTTGTAAAGTGGAGGGGAAGAGAACAAGTGATTGGTTCAGAGTCACAATGATATTCTTTCACCGCGTCTTAAATAACGACACAAAAGAACACACAGATGAAGCAGATGCAGACTTTAGCCTTTTACCCTGCATCTTTGTTCTACTGGATTATACCTCAGCATAATACGATAGCACCATCTGAAGCAATAAACACAAGGCTTTTACTCGTTTACTTATTTTAAATGGCTAGTTGTGTAACATTAAAAGAGGCATCCGAGAGAAAACAAATCCAGTTTCATCAGAATAGACACATGTTTCTGTGACAAAAAAAGTCATATATATATATATATATTTTAAAATAAAATTATTTAAAAAAAATGTGAGGAAAAAAAAGTGCAAACCATCTTTCCCCATCAATCCCAGCATGCACCATTAGTGGGTGGCAGTTGTGAGGGTATTCTCTACATATGGCAGTTCAAATGATTCCAGTGTAGCGAGTCTCTAACAGTAGCAGTCTGCTGCTTTCTGTGTCATCTACAGACAAATATCCATTCAGTGATTGCCTTACGCACAGAGTCTGTAGGAAGCAGAAACAAACCCTAGGAAATCTAAAACAGCACTCAAACCATTTCCAAATGGGATAAGGGTTTGGGTTAGGTCCACCAAAGTGTTTGTTTTTTTTAGAAAATGTGGGTTCATCGCTGACCATGGAGGACAGACACTGAAGGGTGCAAGACCTGATTTTAAGGAAGGGTCGGTCTGACAGATGCAAAGGGAGGAGGGTCCATAGAGTTTCAGGTTGGGCCCTCGGTGGGGTCAGTCCAGCAGGTGTTTGCGGGATCCTACCCGTGAGCGGTGGGAGCGGCGGGCGTCTGGGGGTCCGTGTATGTCTCGGCAGCTTTGGCACACATATGTCTCTGGCACGTGGCTCTTGCGGATCTTGGCGCACGACAGGTGGATCCAGGTGTTGCACTTGTTACATTCGATCATGGCTCGGCCCGCGAACGGCTTCATGCAGAAACATGTCACCAGGTCCCACGAGTCGTCGTCTGAGGAGACGGGAGGGTGGGGGGGTTGTTTTAAACAGCAATCGTTTAGATTTCAGCATTTTGTAGCACAAACAGAGCTTACCTGAGTCCACCATTATGTCCTCATCCTCTCCTGAGCCGTCTTCGTCTCGGAACACCACTTGTTTCCCCTGGCGAAACACGGTTCGGCTTCCTGAAAAGCCCTCCACTTTCTGAACCTTGACCACCCCTTCTTCAAGGTCCCGACCATCCCAGTGTCGGCGCTCCTCCTTGGGTTCCTCCTTCGGCTCCTCCTTGCAGGGAGAAGGGCTGGGCAGGCACTGGGGGTGGAGGGGGATGCTGAGATCATCTTCGGGCTCTTCTTTGATCATCCGGCCACCGAAGGACAGTGGAGACTGCGCCTGTGGTTCTGGTGTGTGGCTCTGCTGTGACCTGCTTTCCTCGTCGGAGTGGTGCTCCTTCTCCTTCCTCCTCTTCTTCTTCTTCAGTTTGTCAGCTTTCCTGTGGTCATCTGGATGCAGACTTGTGATTGTGAGCTGCAGAGCAGAAGAAGAATAAATCTCAAAACAACAACAAAGCTTCGTCTCATCAGTGCACACACTGATGGGTTTTACTTCAGTAGACTTAGTTCAGCTTACTTCTCTTTTAGGATGAGCAGAAAGCATGGGTCCAGGTTGAGGTCGTTTCCTGTTTCTGTCTTGAGGGATCTTCGTAGGACGCGAGGGACAGGAGGCTGGGMGTCCCGGGGTCCAGCCATCACTGTCAGCGGTGCTGCCTGTGCTGTTGGGWGGGCTGGAGCTACTGCGCAGCGGAGAGTCCTGCTTAAGCAAAAGAAGGCGCAGATATCAGTGACATTCTGCTATCACTCTTAGTGTGTCTGTGCCACAAAGCAGATGACTTCACAATAAATAACCGAGACAGGCTACGGTTTCAGGTTGTAAGACGTGGAACTTTAGCTACGGAGGGCAAACAGCAACACACTGTAGGGAGACGTGGTTTTAAACAAAAAAAACAAAACAAAAAAATTGAAATCCACTTATTATTCATATTGTAAACAGATTCAATGGCAGATATTGAACACTTACAAAAATCATTAATCAGTAATGCCTGTGCAATGTCAAATGCTGTTTGTAAATTGAAAAATACATATTGGCAAAAAACAAACAAACAAAAAACCTGTATAAACATCACACTTAGAAACAAACAGTTATTCCATTAGTCCATGTAAATAGCTGTACATTTACAATAAAAAAATACCCTACAGACACAAACAAAAAGACATTTGCTTAAGATAATCTTTTGTGTGATTATTTTGTCTCCCCCTGTACTAAAACAGATTTGCAAAGGAAAACCTAAGTCTTGTACTGTATCCACTTTTACAGCCAGTACAATTCAAGAACACGTTCTTTATTGTTAGCCAGTTTCTCTGATAGAACAATCACTAACCTAAAGTTTTGAAACAGTAAATATGTAAGAGGATCCTTACACGGTTTGAACTTTTAATAATCTCTGTTTTGCTCACGTTACCTGTGATTTATGTTGGATTTTCCTTACTGTATTGTCTTCATCATCATAACTTACTGTACTTCTAATAAAGATAATGTTAAATATTTGTGAGTTTTTTTTCTTAATAACTTATTATTTAGATGTTTACATGTGAAAATGAAGAATGTTTAACAGGGAGAACAAGTTAGACATGTTAAAAATGAGGAAAAWGCTCAGTGTTTACAAATAAACGCGTTTCTCCACCTCTAACGTACCTCTTGCGGGTAAGGGATGTATCCGGCGTAGGCCAACACAAAAGTGCAAAACTTGTTAAAATCCTCCACCGTTCTCCTCCTCCGGTACGGCGGACTGAAACTCTGCAAACAATCTTGTCGTTAAAAAAAAAAAAGACCCGAAGATCTCAACAACATGGCGATGACATGAACGAGAAGTGACCGCCTGGCTGCACACACTTTCTCTGCAAACTGACATGGAGTTGGCTAGACGCCACATACGAGGATTCAATACAAAAAATAGCACTAAAATGAAAAGTAACACAAAGTAAAGTTTCATTAAGTTGTTTTGAACAAATGTCACCCATTAACCCAATTACAAACTGCAGACAGATCTGTTAGCCAGCTCGGCTAGCAGGCGTAAACAGCAAATAAGTACCAAGCTAATGCTAAGCGGCTAGGRGTCCAAATAAATAAAACGGCTGCCAAAAGACCAATAACGCCGAACAACAATAATAAACTTTCAAACAGGCCCCCGGGGTAATAAAAGCATCACTGCTCACCGACTGTTAGCTGACGACAAATGCAGATACCGCGAATGTGAGTGTTAGCTTGTATTTATGTTAGCATGCTCCGTTATGGTGATGGAATGTGTTCCCGATTAAAACTCGAGGCTACCGAGCGTCAACGCTTCATAAAAAGTGCCGTGTCAAGTAACAAATAAACGACATTTTTTATAACCACAACGTCAGGTTTTAACTGTGCAAAACTGCACTACGGTACAAACAAGTCTGCGTGTTGAAGCAAGTGTAATTAACTTCTTATGACAACATTAGCGAAGCATGCTAACGCTAATCGGCAACCGCTTGTCGAGCGGTGACAAGACCTGGATCAACTTCGTGCCCGCTAAATTCGCTACACATTAGCGAATGAATAATTGTAAAAMAGTTACATTAACAAAACAAGTACTCACCTCCGACTGAAATGCATGAGATGTCGATGGGTTTATGTCACCCATCTTAACGGAGTTCCCGACCACCTGACGTGTTGTGGATACCCTGACAGGCTACAGAAGCGGGCTACTCTATGGGACAGTAAACACCGCTTACTGGTTTAGCTTTTTGCTCGCTAGATGTCCGCTGCTAGCGTTACCTCTCGAAGCAACAGTGTCCACTCAGGTTGCCATCACGGACATCTGCTAGRACGAGTTCACCAACTAGTCGGCACMAAGTRGCGAGCTGTGACTMCTGAACGTCAGCAATCTTRACTACAGTGTCTTCACCGAGCTGTCCGGTAAAACCACCGTCGATCCAGTTTTACGGACTACTCATCGGTTCACTTCGGCTGTCACTCGCTACCTGCCCCCCTCTTCTTTTTCTTTTTTCTTCGTCTTCTTTTTTCTTCTTCGTTTTTTTTTTACTCTGACAATATTGACACCGGTGCGTGGAATATTGCCCCCTGCAGGCTAAGTCAAAAAATTAAATTGTATTTAGACTCGATGCTGCAAAATAAATAAAATAAACAGTTATYGAAAGTCAATAATCTGCTTTTAGTAGGGCTGTAAGTTTTTTGTGAATATAATTAGTGAATATTTCTATTGTATTTTATTAAAGATGAGTTGATTCGCGAGATAACATTTTTGACCTGAAGGGGGCGCTAGAACAATACATGTAAAATTCCGGCGTCAAAATCCAACGAAGAAGAGATTTTACAGCAGGAAGTCTTTTCTTGAAGTTCCGGTGACTTCTCTTGAGCATCTGCGCGGCGTTCGTATCAGGCTGCAGCTAGTAGGATCAGTTTTGTCTGTTTTTTTGATAAACGTGTTCAAAATGTCGGACACCACAAGACTTGGAGAGTTTAAAACCTTTTTGACTGAACACTTTACCACGCTGGCGGTGGAGGTGTTTACCGAGGTGGAGAACATTGTGGGGGCGTGCTTTGAGGAAAACAAACGGCTGAGGAGCATGCTGCACATGGTGCTTAGCCCCGAGATAAAGTTACACAAGATAGGTTTGTTCTCTTCAATATCTACTTATCAATGCCTTCACTTAATGCTTGAAGCTAATTTCTCYCTGTTGGTTTAAAGATTAGTTTGAATTATTCTCGAGAGAAATACAATTGCATGGACCCCCTCCCCCCCAAATAAATAAAGAAAGGTATAAAAACAGTTTTATTTTTGCTAACCCAAAATAAATTTTTAACACTTGACAATTTCGTGTTTTATTTTTTTTTGCATTTTATTTGGATCCACACAGAGTTACAATTTAACATTTAAATATCAACGTGTTTCACAAAATATCGAGTTAAATGGCCCATAGAACCTTGCATAGAACTGTATGACATTTGCTTCTGGTAGAATATGAAGTTAGAGATTTAACCACTCTTGTAGGTCCAAAATTTATATGGTTGAATGATCAGAATTCAGACTGTGTATTTTAATAGGAAATAGATGTATTGGTAATTTTCTTTTTTGTCTCTATTAATAGATGTTACTCCATACACTGAACCAAGTATCAGGGAGGAACCTGCAGAGCCAAATACAAGGTCAGCCAATGAAATATCAGAGCCGATGATGAAAAGACCTAAAGAGGAGGAGACTGAATATGATATTCAGTGGGGTTCAGAAAAACTCTGGCCAGACAAAATGGACAACAGTGATTTACTTGACTGTGTGAAAAGTGAAGAACAAGAAGCCTACCAGTCGCCCGTCTCTAACTCATTTACCGTTCAAGTGGTTGAGTACAATCAGGACTCTTCAATCACCGTCTCGACTCATGATGCAGGAGCTGAACAAGATGATTCTTTCTCTGTGTCGTCAGATGAAACCCTGTCCTCTTCATCTTTACAGACTAACATTGACTCAAGCAGCAGCCAAAAACATCAAACAAATCCTGAAACTTCAATCACAAGCGTAAGTGTGAACATTTTACCTTGAATTCTTTATATTTAAAGTTTTTGCTGAATAAATCTTTACAGACAGGTAAGTTAAAATGGTGCAGACATGCGTTTGTCAGAAATAAGAGCTAAGAACTTTTTTAGTAACAGGTAAACGAGTCATTGTTAAATTTTACCCCACAATAAATGAGCACATACTGATGTATGCAGCTGAACCCTTCCTCACATAATTATTTAGTTCACCTTTATTCATTAATTCAGAATAAATATATAACTCAATAAATTTTTTAGCTATCTGTTCAGACCATTTGTATCATATTTGCTACACACATTTCTGTGACCTCTTAGCAATGTGATAATATTARATAATAATTTATAAACCTGTTGAATGTAGCTGTTGTTACATTGTCCAGTTTCAGTATGACTAGTTGCATCTGATTACAGAGCCTGAACCTTACCATCGAGTTTAAAAAAAGATAAATGAAGTCACTAATCCTACTGTTTCCAAAAGTGCTGCAGCCGAGTTGAAAACACATTTTTCCTCCACTGGTTGTAGCCTGTATATCAAGTTTTTAGCTTCAGCGGAGTGGGTTTTAAGAGCTAAAAGTGGATTAGAKCAACCAATGGAAAAACTAAACCCCTACCAGACCGACCCACATAGAAARGTTCCGCTATTTAAACCGGAATGTTCGGTATTCAAAAAATTCATATAACAAAAATAAAAACCGGTATTCGGTACAAAACGGTATACCGCCCAGCACTAAAATGCAGCTGTTTTCAGTTACTGTTTGTTTGTGGGCCTTTATGTCTAAAGTTTAGTCTCTAACAAGTAAAATGCATGCTCAGTTGGGTTGAGATCAGGTGACTGACTTGGCCATTAAAGAATATTCCACTTCTTTGATTTAATTGGGTTGATTTGTCTTTGTTTCTTTCCATCATTCTGATTGGTTGTTGTGAAGGGGTTTCTCTTCTCCATGGAAATTATTCTGCTATCAWCCACCACTGTTGTCTTCCATGGTCATCCAGGTCTTTATGCATTTTTGAGTTCACCAGTGCTTGCTTTCTTTCTCAGGATGTACAAAACTGTAGATTTTGCCACTCCTAATATTGTAGCAATTTCTTGGGATGTCCCGATCCAGATTTTTTGGCTCCCGATACAATTAGATTTTTTTAATGATTAGTCTTTCCGATACCTGTCCGATAGCTTTATTTCTTTTCAAGCGATAAGGTTGGTGGGTAGGGATGCTAACAGTTAATCGATTTACGATTAATTGTTGAATAATGATTTATTAGATTAAATTTTCTTCCATTTTATTAATTGAAAATATCTGTTTAAACCTTATTCCAGTGTAGTTTTGCCTTCATCCCGCAGAGGGCGCTGTTACTATACCCTGGCCCTGTTAAACTGAACAGGAAGCTGTCTCGATGTGGGTGGGACCACAAACGCGCGAGTCTCATTTAATTTTATTTGCGACACAACAATACTAATGGACTATACCAAACTCYAAGGAAAAGTACCAAAGGTTGTACCGAACCATCAAGCAGTATGATGCTAAAGACAAGAGAGGAGGACGACAGAGAACAGTAGGCTAACTGTGGCTAACGTTAGCATCCTCTTGTTGAGTTTAACTCCATGTGAAAGAACAACAACAAAAAATGTTACAGTCACTACCAATATTTAACTTGAAGTTAATCTAATCTGTGTGACATTACCTGGCCAGTAAACCAATCTAATGAACAGTAACTGACGTCAGATCATGTCGTGCAGCCCAGCTAAGATAGAAGCAGAGGGAATATAAACAAACAATTAATTACCGGTACTCATTTGTATCTCACGTCTTTCAGGGATATTTTATTATGTTCCTAGTTTGTTTTTGAGTTAATCTTTATTTTAAAATATTACCGTGTGCTTAAATTAGTTTTTCATCTTCAGGGTGGATTTAGTGTTTTGCTTATTTTATTATTTATTTTTTCTGACTAGCAAATTAACAAGTTCCTGTTTTATTATATTTTATAAATATGTCCAAGTTTAATAATGTGAGAGAAATCCACATTTCTCTGTTCATTCAGTGTTTAGTCACACAGCTGGCACAATGAATTGTTAAAATAATATTGTATTTTTTTATTTAGTGTGAAAAAAATTAGCCCTTCATGTTATAGATAGAGAAATGTCAAGTTTCTAGGAAAATGGCTGCTTATCGATAAGATCAATCAACTTTAGATTAATCCATTAATCGATAACTTGCATCCCTAGTTAGTAGTATTAAAGCGAGCCCTGCTGTTCTCACCACAAGAAACATCCAGTTTGCAGATTTTGCAAGATGGAGTTTCAGCATCATTGTTTTCCATTGAAAAGTGTTCCCACACTGTGGACATGGTTCCATACTTGTGTGCGTCTTGACTTCTTAACGGCAGCAGTAAAGCATGATGATGATGAAAACTGTCGCAAAAACTGGATCGGCCCGATCACATGACTAAATCCGATTCTACCCGATTTTCCAAAAATMGCCATATCTGCCACCGATAGCGAGTATCTGATCAGGACATCCCTAYCAATTTCTCAGACAGATCTCTGAAATTATCATCTCTGCTTTATTGACCAATTACTTATGTGTATTTTTAGATGTCAAAAAGAATAGAGGAAGAGAAGACAAAAAAGTACATTGAAAGTGTCATCAACATGATAATGGATGGCAATTCAAGTGACATGGAGCATTTAGGAGAAGATGAGGAGGAGTGGAKTCCTCAGGCCATACGCGACGATGGATGTTTAGATAGCAGTGATGAAAGTGTAGCCCAGACAGGCATGGAAGTTGAGGTGCCAACAAGAAGTCTGGACATGATCAGAAATGAGTCAGTGATGGGRGATGCAAAAAGCAAAGAATGCAGATGGAGAAATCTTGAGTATCAAACTCCATCTGTTGATTTCATTGCATGTGATGAGGAAGGCACAGAGAATTGGTGTGACATGACACCATACATGTACTTTAAACAGTTTGTCACTGATGAAATGCTACAGGAAACTGCAGAACAAACAAACATGTACAGTGTGCAAAAAGAGGGCAAGTCCGTAAACACAACTGCCAAAGAAATAGAGCAGGTTCTAGGCATGTACATGCACATGGGGCTAGTACAGATGCCCTGTGCAAGAGCCTACTGGGAGATGGAGACAAAGCTCCCTGCAGTTTGCGATGTGATGCCTCGAGATCGGTTCCTGAAACTGCTGACACTGATTCACTTTCAGAACAACCTGAATGCATCTAACGATGCAGAAGCAGACAAGCTGTGGAAGCTCAGGCCGTGGTTACAAAAACTGCGAGAACAGTTTCTCTGCATACCCCCAGAGGAATGCCATGCAGTTTATGAAATGATGGTGCCATTCAAGGAAAAGTCTCATGTATGTGTCCACAAGCCTGAAAAACTACACAAACTGGGTTTTAAAATGTGGGGACGTGTTGGACAAAGTGGCTTTCTTTATGACTTCGATATTTTTCAAGGTTCAGAATATCCAAAGAGAGAAGAGTCTGAATTTGGTGTCGCAGGAGAAATTGTGCTGAAGTTGACTTCAACACTTTCGGCAGGAAGGAATCACAAAGTCTTTGCGGACAACTGCTTTACATCAGTTCCCCTGGTCSAACACTTGAAAGAGAGAGGAATCCACTATGTTGGCACAATTGACATGAACGAGATGAAGAACTGCACCATGAAGGATGAAAACGAATTGAAGGAAAGTGGAAGAGGATCAATGGACTTCACAGTAAACCTGGACAACATCATTGTGAGATGGTATGATGACAAAGCAGTGAACCTGATCTCCTCTTATGTTGGCATTGAACCTGTGGGAAACGTGAAATGCTGGGATTGCAAATCCAAAATGCATGTAATGGTTCCCAGACCAGCCATTGTTGAAACATATAACAAGTTCATGGAAAGCATTGATCTTTTTGATAGTCTGTCTTCACTTTACAAGTTCAGCTTCAGATCCCGAAGATGGTACATGCACATCTGGTGGCACACTGTTACCGTAGCAGTCATCAATGCTTGGAACGTGTACAGTAGAGATCAGAAGAAGCTACAACCCAACAGGAAATCTATGACTCTACGAAGGTTTCAAGCTTTAGTTGGCACTTCTCTCACAAGCGCAGGAAAGGTCAAGTGTGACAGATCACTATTCTCTCCAGAAGCAACTCCAGCACCACCCCGTAAAAGGCCAAGCTGCAGTGTGCCTCTTGATGTGAGAGAAGATGGCGTAGATCATTTTCCAACATGGGAAACACGACAGAGATGCAAGTACTGCATAGGGAATCACTTTTCACATGTCTTCTGTGTGAAATGTAAGGTGCATCTTTGCCTGAACAAGGACAGAAACTGTTTTTATGCCTACCACAAAGTGAAATATTCATTTCACTTTGTCTGAAAAGGTTTTTGTATAGGAAAACTTCTAGAAATATTTTATAATTTTTAAATGTTCTTAGCAAAATTTGTTTTTGGATCTAAAATTAATCTTGTGATTTAAAATATGCATCATACGTGTCTTATGTGTGATACAAATCAAATGTAACAAAATGAAATGGGCAGTTTTTATATATTTTAAAGACCGTGTAAAGTAAAATGTAACATTTTCTTTTTTTAAACGTTATGCCATAAATGGATTATTGTAAATGAGTACAAATTCTCTCAACTATAGATTTTTGGATAGTGGAGATATGATTCAATTTGTGTAACAAGATATCTGTGTTTCAGGATTTTTTTGGGCGTGTCTTAAAGGGCAGCCTCGTGATGTCACGCAGCTGCCTTCAGTATAACCCCGCCCCCTGTTGCTCTAATGGAAAAGAAAACAAACATTGTTTCCTCAGTTACAGGAATGTTCAGGGTCGTGGGCGTGGTTTGAACTCCTCCAGTGGACACGCCCCCAGCATTCCAGACCACAGCTAACTGATATTTTTTCATTACTTTTAACACATAATTTTATAAGGTTAACAGTATTTTTAATTGTTCAAACTTGGCTGGGTGATTTTTGACATTTCTGTGGTGTGATAACCTCAGAACACATTTATTTTTACTTTACTCGGTCTTTAAAGGTTTAAACATCTCAGTTTAAATATAGGTATAATTTTCTGAAAAGTTGTGTCAAACCTTTTATTTCTGACTGCAGTGCTGAAATATATAAATTTCCACAGTTAGAAACTTTTTATGACTGCCAGAGAAACTTTTTATGACTGCCAGTTTTATTTTTAAACGCAAAGAGTTCTTGTGTTGCGTTCCGACTGAATGCGATTTGAGCATCAGGGGTGTCTAGTTTACATGGAAAGTATGGTTGATGTGCATCAAGGGATGTCAGGAAGTGTTGCAGCATCCTGAAGTGTACGTGCGTCAAAGTTGCAAATGCTGGACGTGGACTTTAGCAGCTCAACATGGAGCATCAACCAGAGAGACTCTGCTATGTGATGTAGTGGCTCATTTTCTGACAGTATGATCTCCTGAATGATGCCCACTAACCTGGGACAGATGGACAGGTGCTCTTCAGCTGAAATTGAGCGCCTGTAGTTGGTGTCCTGGCAGGAGATGCAGGCACTGATGCGGATCAGCAGCTTGCCAAACTGGGCTTGTGACAAAAATAGAGCTTCTGGAGTGGTAAAACTCGCCAAACTCAACTCCTCTGAATTATCTGGTGAATCCAGACACGGCGTCAAGTCTCCCAACGACGACATGCTTCTTGCTCAGTAAATAAACCCAAGCCACTCTAAATTTCATCCACCATAAGTCTCCCAACGACGACATGCTTCTTACTCAGTAAATAAACCCAAGCCACTCTAAATTTCATCCACCATTGTACAGAGACCAACAGAGAAAACTACCAAGAGGCTCTTCCCACAGCACCTTTCCACACTTTGCTTGACGCTCATCTAGCGCAGTGATTCCCAACCAGGGGTACGTGTACCACATGGGGTACATGAGCATATTACAGGGGGTAAGTGGAAAATTTTCCCAGGCGTGTAAATTTTTTTAAAAATAAAAATAGGACTGAGATATATAGGGCCCTGTTCTTTCCACAATGCAGAAACTGCAAATAGAATCAAAATTTGCACAAAATGGAATCCAGTATAAAACACGGAATCTCAGAATTGTTGGGGTATTGATGTATTTTGGACGCTGCTGCTTCCTGCACCTGCCATTACCTGGTTTATTTATTTAATTACTTATTATGTATATGTTGGTGACGTAAACAGAGCATATAATATGTTTATGAATATTTTGGGAACTCTATGGAAAGAATTGTGTGCAAAAAATTGTGCAAGGAGAGATGTTGATAAACCATGGATGACTAAAAGTTTGAAAAATGCTTGTATAAAAGACTCATTTGTATTCAGGCATCTTGAAATTAAYAACAAAAGAAGCAGAAGACAGATACAAGACATACAAAAATAAGTTGGTATGGATTATAAGAAAACATAAGAAGGAATATAACAGTGACTTATTAAATAAAAGTAGTGGAGATATGAAAGCAACATAGCGAGTAATGAACAGTGTTCTGAATAATCATAAAGTAAAATCAGGTATTCCACAATATTTTGTAAAAGATAAGGAAATCCATGATCAAAGTGAAATAAATGAATTTAATCTTTATGTAAATGCTGGTCCAAATTTTGCTGAAAAAAATACCAAAAGTTGATAATGATGTGAGTCATATAATCCAGGGTTGTGTCAACAGCATCTTTCTTGGAGAAACTGATGAAGAAATCTTGAGTATTGTAAAAGAATTCACAGATAAAAGGTCAAAAGATTGGATTAACATGGATATGATGGTAGTGAAGGAGATATTTGGTTGTGTTATTGAGCCGTTTACATATATATGCAATTTATCATTTTCAACAGGAATTTTCCCAGATGACATGAAAATAGCTAAGGTAATTCCTATCTAGAAGAATGGTGGAAAATATGTGTTTAACAATTACAGACCAATATCCTTGTTGCCACAGTTTTCAAAAATTTTAGAGAAATTGTGACAAGATTGGACCAATTCATCAACAAACAAAATATTTTAAGTAGTAGTCAATACAGGTTCAGAGCAAATAATTCTACAGCAATGGCTCTCATGGAATTAATTGAGCAAATAACAACCGCTGTTGACCAAAAGCAGTATTGTGCAAGCATTTTTGTTGATTTAAAATAAAAGCATTTGACATTATTGTCCATAGTATTCTTCTCGAAAAGCWGAATCAATATGGTATTAGAGGACCGGTATTACAGTGGATATCTAACTATTTGAAAGATAGGAAACAGTTTGTACAGATAAATGGAGTAAGATCTGAACTTTGTAACATAAGATGTGGAGTTCCTCAGGGTTCTGTACTTGGACAAACGTTGTTTATACTGTATGTGAATAATTTGGTAAATGTGTCAGAGTTTTTCAAATGTGTATTATTTGCAGATGATACTACYTTTTTTTGTTTGGGTAAAGATATAGAACGGATGTTGGAAAGGATGCAAATGGAATTTGTTAAAATACAAACTTGGTTTAGACTTTATAAGTTGTCATTAAATTTAGAGAAAACTAATTATATGGTATTTAGTAATAGAAAACAATGGATGTTCCATTAAGAGTCAATGGGATTGAGATTTGTAAAGTCAGTGAGGTGAAGTTTTTGGGTGTAGTGATAGATGAAGGGTTGACATGGAGACCTCACATAAATTATTCAAGAATAAAGATGGCTAAATCTATTGCTGTTCTGTATAAAGTAAGGAAGTTATTTAATGATAAAGCACTGTATATGTTGTATAATGCAATAATAAGTCCACACCTGGTTTATTGTATTGAGGTCTGGGGAAAAGCGTGTCAGACAATTACAAATCCTATTTTTTTTTATTACAAAAAAGAGCTGTGAGAATTTTTACTGGAAAACATTGTCGTAACCCATCAAATTCATTATTTTGTAAATTGAAAATATTGAAGTTCTTGGATTTGGTTGATTATAATATTCTACTGGTTATGTATAAGGCCCCCCAAAACACATAACCTTTAAACATCCAAGTAAAATTTGTTAAGAGAAAGAGTTGTTATAACCTTAAAGGGACAAAGATATTTGTAAAACCCAAATTCAGAACTAATTTGAAGGAACGGTGTACTTTAATTCGAGGAATAAAACTGGAATAATTTGGGGAGTGATGTAAAAAATGCAGGATCTTTATGTACATTTAAGAAAATGATAAAAGGTGGATTGCTAAAGAAATGCGAAACAGTATGTGTGTCTATATAAATTGTTCTAAAGGAATTAGATGTTCTTGTCTTTTGTTTTGTTAATAACAGATTTTTTTGTTATGTGAGCCTATTGTAGAAAAGGGGCAGATATAAGATTTTTTTTCTTCTCTGCTGCCTTTCATTTTATTTGTGATTTTGATATACATATATATTTTTTTCTCATTTTCCTTTTTCTTTTTTCTTTTTATTGTATATTGTAAATAAAATTATTTGTTTTGTTTGAAAAGAATAAAGAATTGAATTGAAACTTATTCACTTTCAAGGCAACTTATTTATTTTTATGTTTACTTCGAGTTGAAAATAATAAAATGCCTGAGAATTAAACATTCTAGGGGGTTAAATAAAAAGTTTTCATTTAATAAGTTGTACATTATAGTTTTGGAGAATCATTACGTTTGATAGGGGGTACTGTAGTGGTATGACAAAATGGCTCGGGGTACACAAGTTTAAAAAGGTTGGAAACCACTGATATAGCTCATCTTCAGTCTGAACGCAGCATTACTTCTGGTAATGCCAAATGTATCATATCTGAGGACACTTTTTCTAAGAATGCTGCCTCTAACAAGATTAATGCTTTTCTCTAAAACCTGCTTTATTGAATCATGCAAGGCTTCTACCCACTGGTGGTGCCACTTTTATCCAAGATGGCTGTTTTCATGGTTCACCCTGTATTTTTATTCTTATTCTGTGCTTCGCTGTCACTGTTTCAACACTGGGGGTGACAGTTTCAAATTATTTATTTTAAACTGCTAAAATTAAATGTTAGTTTTTTTGTTTTGTTTTTTTCCCTGTGCTGACCGTGTGCTACAAAATAAAAGAAGTCGAAGCCCTCCCAACAGAAAACGCTGCTACATATGCCTCGGTAAGATGTCTATATAAACCTTACTGTAATTAATGCATTTAAAAAGTGAAAGTCCTGATTTTTACTCTGATCATGTTTTYTCTCATACAGGATTATTATCCACAAATCTTTCACCATTTGCCCAGCAGAACGAGAGGCCTTTTTAACAAGGCTTTCTGATGCATATAAAGATTTTCCCGATGACCAGAAGCCTTTGATAACCAAACTGGATCTGAAAACAAATGTAAAAATGGTGAAGTGTGCTGTAGGTGAAGTTCCTGAAGGTTCGCCCCTGTCCTACCAGTGTCCTTTGCCATCAATTCAAGATTACAAACCTTGTGACAATCCTTCCCCTCAACCTCCTCTTCCCTCGCTTTTACATCCACTACAGCCAGTGTCTGTTTTTCCTACTCTCAGCCTTAAGGAGCAGGAGCGTCTAAATTCCATGGTTATCTCTTGGGACGAAGCGCGTGAACTGGAAGTAAGGACTCGTGGATCCAAAGAGGCAGCAGAAAAGTCACTGAAGATGCGTTTGGTCAGCCGTTTCAGAGAAATCACCAAGCTAAAGGTGGGACGAAGCCACGCAGAACAACTTCTCTTTAAGATCATGAAAGGCAACTTCGTGTCTAAGACCTTGGATTGTCAGGCAATAAACGAAGAAACGAAGCCTGAAGCTATCCGTGAATATTGTCGGAATCTGTACATCAACTGGTCGCCCTGCGGTTTGGTGGTCCATCCTAATGCTCCGTGGCTGGGGGCGATCCCTGATGGAGTGGTGTACGACCCCAAAGAGATTAGCAAATATGGGCTCATCTATACCAAACACTCTGATAACCAGAGCATCATCGAAAGTAGTTTTCTGCTGTGTCGAAATGGAACTATTCAGCTGAAGAGGGAGCATCAGTACTTTTGGCAAATCCAAGGGCAGCTGATGGTGACGGGCCTGTCATGGTGCGACCTGTTGGTGTACGCCAAACAAGACATGCTGGTCCAGCGGATCTATCGAGACAATTCTCTCATCAAAAACATGCAAAGGAAGTTGAAAGATTTCTTCTTCTATTTCTATCTGCCGAACCTGGGCTAATGGAGGTGATCATTTGTTTTTTTGCGGCGTCTAAACACTGATGATGTTTTAGGGTTTTCTCTGCAAATGATCACGTTAAACAGCCACCAAGGGGAAATGATAAATGTTGCCATTCTTTACAAGATGCAGGAAGAAATCTAAATATCTAATTAGGAGAATACTGACTTAGGACTAGAGGAGAAACTGGTAGAATTTTGTTAGATTTTGTATGAAGCTGTATTTTTACCACAAAAMAAATATGAAAGTTCTGCCTCAAGTTTACTTTTTTTATTTGATTTTTTTAATTAGTTTTTTGTTGGTTGTGGGCTTAAACAAAAATACATTTATTATATGAATGATCTCAAACTGATTGTTTTTTTATTGTTTTTTTTTTTTGTGATTTAAATTTTAGGTGGTTTATAGGTGTTTGATTGTTTGCTTTATTTGAACACATTTTGTTGCTGCATTGTTAATTTACCAGATTTATGATGGCTTTTTTTTATTGTTTGAGATGTTTCCTAGAACTTTTTCTGCATATTTTTTCAAGTTTGTTCTCCTTCAAAAGATTGTAATGTTAAATTTGTATTTTGTTGTGTCAGGAACAGTTCAGTAGGCTGCTCCTTTGTTTGCGCCCAAACAGGTTCGTGGTTTTTCAGCTGCACTGAAAATTCCCAGTACAGAAACGTGTGCTTTGTCCTGTCAGAAAGAAACCTTTATGCAATTACAAGTAAACTGTCATTCTTGAATTTCTCAAACCTTTTAGTTAATTTGGACAGTATTGACAGCCAAGTATTGTGAAGCTGCTTAGTTTATCCATATTACCTCATTTAATTGTTTTACTGACTTTTATTAATAAAAACTATTCATTTTGTCCTACTCGGAATGTCATCACTGCTTTTTATTTAGCAAATGCGAAGGGCTTCGACAACCTAAGGGGTAACACAAATGGACAAAAATGTACATTTTTTTAGAGTGTAGTTGATTTAGTCTGTAGAATAATCACTGGGAAGCCTGCTTTGTTATGAGGTGTTATATAMTGTTAGTAMCATATGATGCAGTCAAGAATAACTACTGGAGCTCAGTGTGTAAATGGAAAACAAAATACGGATAATGAAAGTAATAGTCAAAGTGGTTTTCAGTGTTCTACCTTCATAAAATATTAATTTCACATTTTATTAAGCCCAGAATTTTAAAAAAAATATTTTGAAATGGCTAGAAAATTCATAGTTTTGAGTAGATCTTTTACAAATTTTTTTCCAGGGGATTAAACCCCTGTACCCCCCTAGAACTGCTTCACTCTACAGCTGCTTTTTAACATAAACAAATGTCACTTTTAAGTTAATTAAACAACCTGGTTTCTCAAGTAAAAAAAAACATCAAAGAGAAAACCTTAGTTTCGTATGTGAATGTCTAAATTGGCAGTGAGATTTAGAAAATTGCACAAGGTGCACCAACTGAATTCATGCCTAGGGCGCCAAATTGGATAGGTCCGGCCATGGTTTTCACTACTCTATTGAAAAAAATATATATTCTAGGGCATATGTGAGCTATCATTTAAAAATTGACTTCGCTTCTCATAAATATAAGATCTTATTTTGAAATTACCACAGCATCGAAAAATGATGACTTTAGATTTATGACGGTATAATTTAGCTTCTCAAAATTGTGACTGCCTTTTGTGGTTCTAAATAAGGTTCTGAAAATGGACTTAGCATCTTCTTTTGGATTAGTTTTTTTTTTTTAGTTATGACTAAGCACCTTCTATTTATGTAGTATTGCCAAGTCATGACTTGTTATTTTAACTTAGGATCTTTAAGTGAGGATTACCACCTCAAAATTAATTTAGAATAATCAAATCCTAACTTTTGAGGAATTACGTGATTGTATCGCAGAATAATCAGATGCGACTTCAATAAATTAGAAATAATTATGTMATACTAAATCATAAAAATAAGATGCTGGTCAGTCACAATTTTGAGACCCTATAATTATAACTTTAGAGATGATGTGAACCAGGTTGATGGGGTTAAAAATAACTCTGTGTTATTTTCAGTCGACCTGTAGAGGGCGCTGTGTCTCACATCAGTCCCACATTTCATAAGGTGAGGTCAGCAGAATGCTGCGCAGCTGTGTGCGGTTTGAGAGAAAACGCTTCATTTAAAAAAAATGATGCGTCATGCTTCGCTCTCTGCAATCATTAGTCAGCAGAACGCACACATTTAGCTGTGGCAGTCATCTGACTGTGTGACCGGACGTAGGGAGACTTTCTGCTCTCAGAAAACACTCGTCCTTCTTCACCTCGGTCCAGTTCTGGTCTGAGAGGTGTTCGTGTCACGATGGGGATCAACAGGACATACGTTAGCATCGCCTACGCCTCGTGCGGGATAATCATAGGCTGCTCTGCCTTCCTGGTGTGGAACTTCGTGTACAGACAGCCGTGGACCGGAGCCATGGGGGGTCTGTCAGGTAAACAGCTCATGAGGAGTCTACAGGTAGACAGTGTCAAACTGGTTTAGTTATATTAAACATGCAACTTGTGGCCCTTCCACCCAGTTATTAATCTAAAATGAACATTTTCTTAGTGTTAAACTGGTTTCACTCAGCTGTTTTTAATTAATWTCAGGCATAAATGCAAAGCAATGAGGATATTTCTCCAGTTAAAATTATGCACTTTTTTATGGGTTTAAGTATTGCTTTACCTAACCAACCTTTGAGACACTGAAGTTTAATGAACTCATATCAGTGACCTCTGCTCCCAGGATGCTCTGTACTAAGTTGCCAAGCATTTATGATACTCTGTCTCGCAAACTGAAATAAGTTCCCTGACATCTCAAAGTTGCAGCCAGAAGTGAAACAATTGCTGAGACGGTGATAAAAATCACTTTGCGTGTTTTACTCTTTCTTAAAAACACTCCCATGCACAAATTACTGTGTGAAAATTCTCATTAAACCAACACAAAACCTGTCTACATGCTTCAGAAGCTGTAAGAATTATAAATGCTTCAGATTATTGTCATCCACCTAATGAAATATTTCTTACACTGCAGTTTAATGATTTTGTCAAGAAAGAAAAGTTATTAAAAAAAAGCAAAACAAACAAAAATCAGGACAAATATTGAAAACAATCTTTCTGTTAAAGGGATTCATGTGTGGAATAATTGTTTTGAAGAGGAAGAGGTAAAACTGTTTTCACTCTTTAAATAAATAAAAGAGCATATAAATCCTTTGACGCACAAATACAGGTTTTGATTTGTTGTTAGTTTACAGACTCAGAATTCATTTGAGATATTTATTAAAATATATAGGAAAGATACTGCTGATTTTGGGATTTGATTTTGCTGCACATGTACAAAAGTGAAGGTATAAAAAGCTTATGTTTTTTCACACAATTCTTTCAGTCTATACCTTCTGTTCCTGCCATTGACAGCAATCAAAATGTATTTTCCTTATTAATTCTGTCTTGTTTTCAGAGTTAAGTGTGTTTTTGACTTGCACATGGAAAGGTTAAAAATGACTGAAATAAACAAATAAATAATCAAATAGTAGTTTTATTTGAGCACTTTTTTTTCTGCAGYTTAAAAAGCCATCCGTGGTCAAAGCTCTTGCTACAGACTAGTTCCCACTATTAAAATCTGAAAAGTGAAGTGATTCAGTGACTCAGCAGTTGGCAACTCGATGTGTCAGTCACTGAGAATGCTTGCACACGTTTTACACAAGAAGTTAACAACAAAACTGCCCTGTCATGATTTGCTAATGTCACATGTGAAACATTGTAGTCATGCTTTGGTCAGATCTTATGTGATGTAATTTAAGACGTCTCAAAAAAGTGTTTAGAACAAAATGATAACATTTGGGCAGAAAAATCACTTATTCAGTGCTTATTGAATCAGTAAGTTAGTAAGAGAGGCAATAATAGCTTCTTATATACATAATGGTAATTAACCTCACCTGTCGTCTTTTTATATGAAAGCTTTAAACTAAGATCATCTTAAGTTGACAAATCAGAGCTGTAGCCAATAAYGTCTAATCAGTCTCACATGGTCTGTTCAGAATGTGCTCTGAATGACTCTGACATGTCAAATTTGAGCTCTTTATCTTCAAAAATGACAGTCTGCTCAGTTGTTGTGGCCTTCTTGATTCCAAAACTCAATCTGAATTGAAACGTCTAATGATTARTTTCTGCAAGACTCYTTAAAATTAAAATTCCTCCAGTGGTTCATGAGATATTTGGTAATAGACACAAACACCATCTGGGACCTCTTGCTTCTCAAACTGGTCGTGTCTCCTCCCTCAGGTGTGTTGGCCCTGTGGAACCTGATCACACACATCATGTACCTGCAGGACATCTGGAGGACCTGGCTAAGAGGCCTCAGGRTCTTCATCGTCACGGGGCTTTTCTTCTCTCTGCTGGCAGTCGTGGCCTTCATCACGTTCCTGACCATCGCCATCAAAAACAAGGAGTGTAAGCTGGTTCACGTCACTTCTTATGGTTCTCTCTCCTAACTGGGTAACTGCCTCCAACATGTATGAGTGGACTGCGGGAAATGAGTGTCTCTGTAAGGATTCAAATGTGGCATCAGAAGCAACGCGAGCTCATCCAGGAAATAAGTTCTTTGATTCTGACATTTTCAACGACGTTAGACCACTTTTGTAGTAGCAGAGTTCACGCTGCTGTCATTGGCATCACGAGAAAACCTGTCATAAATTCTGTTCGGTCCATTAGACGATCCAGAAGCATTACTTCAACTTCTGTTTTTATTCATTTTCGCATACTGTGTCTGGGAGTTTGAGGTGTTTTTTCTGCAGCATTGGCAAATATATCTCCTGAACCAGTGGATGGATTTTAATGAAACTCATAAGCTACTAAATTAGAGTCAGCCACGTTTAAAAATGGGGTATATACAACACCTGGCAAAAAATTATGGATTCACCGGCCTCGGAGGATGTTCATTCAGTTGTTTAAGTTTGTAGTAGATCACAGACATGAGACAAAACTAAAGTCATTTCAAATGGCAACTTTCTGGCTTTAAGAAACACTAAAAGAAATCAAGAAAAAAAGTTGTGGCAGTCAGTAACAGTTACCTTTTTTTGGCCAAGCAGAGGAGAAAAAATTATGGAATCATGAAAAAGAAACAAAAGAACACTCCCAACGCATCACTAGTATTTTGTTGCACCACCTCTGGCTTTTCTAACAGCTTGCAGTCTCTGAGGCATGGACTTCATGGGTGACAAACTCTTCATCAATCTAACTCCAACTTTCTCTGATTGCTGTTGCCAGATCAGTTTTGCAGGTTGGAGCCTTGTCATGGACCATTTTCTTCAAGTTCCACCAAAGATTTTCAATTGGATTGAGATCTGGACTATTTGCAGGCCATGACATTGATCGTGTGTGCCTTTTTTAAGGAATGTTCTCACAGTTTTTGCTCTATGGCAGGATGCATTATCATCTTGAAAAATGATTTCATCATCCCTAAACATCCTTTCAATTCATGGGATAAGAAAAGTGTCCAAAATATTAATGTAAACTTGTGCATTTATTGAAGATGTAATGACAGCCATCTCACCAGTGCCTTTACCTGACATGCAGCCCCATATCATCAATGACTGTGGATGTTTGCATGTTCTCTTCAGGCAGTCCTCTTTATAAAGCACATTGGAATGACACCAAACAAAAGTTCCACCACAATCACCTTGCCCAATGCAGATTCGCGATTCATCACAGAATATGYTTTTTATCCAGTCATCCACAGTCCACGATTGCTTTTCCTTAGCTCATTAGTCTTGTTTTTTTCTGTTTAGGTGTTAATGATGACTTTAGTTTAACTTTTCTGTAGGTAAATCCCATTTCCTTTAGGCTGTTTCTTACAGTTCTGTCACAGACATTGACTCCAGTTTCCTCCCATTTGTTCCTCACTTTTGTTGTGCATTTTCTGTTTTGGAGACGCTTTAAGTTTTCTGTCTTAATGCTTTGGTGTCTTCCTTGGTCTACCAGTATGTTRGCCTTTAGCAACCTTCCTATGTTGTTTGTATTTGGTCCAGATTTTAGACACAGCTGACTGTGAACAACCAACATCTTTTGCAACACTGCGATGATTTACCCTCTTTAAAGAGTTTGATAATCCTCTCCTTTGTTTCAATCGACATCTCTGGTGCTGGAGCCATGATTCATGTCAGTCCACTTGGTGCAACAGCTCTCCAAGGTGTGATCYCTCCTTTTTAGATGCAGACTAACAAACAGATCTAATTTGATGCAGGTGTTAGTTTTGAGAATGAAGATTTACAGGGTGATTCCATTATTTTTTCCTCAAATGAGTGATTCCATTATTATTTCCCTCTACTTGGTCTAAAAAAAATTATTGTTACCGACTACCACATTCTTTTTCTTGATTTCTTTTAGTGTTTCTTAAAGCCAGAAAGTTGCCATTTGAAATGACTTTAGTTTTGTGTCATGTCTGTAATCAGCTTTTTTTTTCTATAAAATTAAACAACTGAACATCCTCAGAGGCCGGTGATTCCATAATCTTTGCCAGGGGTTGTATTTTCCAGACACATAGTTCAATTCTACACCATAATCATGTAACTGTTACCTTCAGTTGTTATGAAAAGGTTTTAAATATCAAAAATAAATTTGACTTTGCATTATAGTCTATCTAAACAACTTGAAATTGTCCTCTATCTCTTGAAGAACCTCCTACCATTTCAAACAGTCCCACTTAAGCACGTTTATAAAAGAAAAAGCTTCAGGGGAGGGGTGCTCTCTGTAGCTCTGCTGCAGACTGAGCTCCAGGGAGGAGCTACGTACAAATAGGCAGGGCTTTGTACCAGCAAGTGTTTAGGCAGCTCCACATGGCTACCACGGGAGATTCAAGGATTTCTCAAACATGCATGAATGAGTCAAAGCAACACTTTGGATATGTTTTTGATGAGGGAATGACAAAAAATTTGAATTTGCATTATAACCCCTGCTCCCAAGATGGCACACAAATGGCTATGATGCAGTCCGTTTAACAGAAAACTATCTAAATTTTGCATAGTAATAGCTGAAAGTCTGTTGAAATTTCAATTGAAGACACACACACAGAGTTATATTTTAAACCTGTAGGTGTGGCTGAAGCTTTGATTGTGGTCAAATAATCCCAGGCACTGTTATGGCTGCATGCATGAAACTGTTCAGTACCAGAGCAGACGCCATTGTTCAAGTGATTTGTAATGTAATTAATGTAATTTGTAAATGTAATTTGGTCATTTCTTGTAGTCTTGCAGTAGAAGTGGTTTTACTTCAAAGCTCCTTATGTCTGTGTGTRTCTGCTCCAGCTCTGACCCCACAGAGTTTCTACCTGTCCAGCGTGTGGAGCTTCATGAGCTTCAAGTGGTCCAGCCTGCTCACCCTCTCAGCTAACCGCTACCGCAAGGAGTTCGCCGACATCGGCATCCTGGGTAACTTTTGAACGCACTTTATAACGCCCACACCTTCCTCTGACTGCGCTGAGCGTTGGTGTGGGAAGAACCGGAGGAGAGGTGCACCTCCTCTGGTCCTTTTAATATGAACAGTTTGTTTCCGGTCCACTGTCTCCTCTTCATGAGTCTCAGTTTTCTTCTTTTGTGTCATTCAGTTATTTTACTGCCCAAATGATCTCATAACAAATTACAACATGGTGATTTTTTTTCTCTTTCTGACTCAGGGGTGGTTTTAGGGTCAGGGCCTGAGGGGCTGTGGCCCCACTAAAATCCAATTGACCCCTGACTCGCCCCTGACCTGTTACTGATGGCTTCACTCTTTACAGATGAGTGACATTACAAACCATGAGGCTGCAGCGGCGGGGGGCACTTAGATTTTTGTAATCCTTTAGCTTCACAACAAGCTTTAAATTGAATTTGACCTGGTGCTTTTGTATCTTTATATTTGTGGCCCCAATAACCCCGGACTTATCATTCAGRGCATTCTTCAGTTGCAGCACTGCACCTCCACCACTAGAGGCCACTGTTCATTCAGTAATAATTGGCAACATTATTGCACATTTGAGACACACATGTTGCACTTCTTCACCATATGTTGCACCTCCAGTGATCAACCAAGGAAGCCTGCAGTGAAGACAGTTCATTAAGTTTAATTCACATCCCTGCACCGTCCACACACTGCAGCTCACCTTAAATCCTGCAAAATGAAGGCTTTTTTATCAGCCCCAGAAAATCACCACAGGTCCCTGTTCTCTGTATTCCTGAAATAGGACTGGGGGGGGGGGTTTTAAAAAAAGTTAAAGGATTTTTGTAGTTTTTTTTTTTTTGTGACAAAAACAGCCCAAATAGGTGCTTTAATTGAGCTGTGAAACCACATGCTGAAGTATTATTTTTTGTTGTTTTTGTACACATCCTGTTACTGTCTGATTAGTTAATTTCTTGTCTTTAAAGATCTGTTTGTAGTAATTTGTCTCTGCATTAGTGAAGGGCTTCGGCTCCGTGCATCACTCGACTGATCGTAGTGGTGTTTGAACCCATGTGACTCAGAATATTGTTAATAAAAATATTTTTTAACATCTTCTGGATCTTGTGCTGTGGAACGAAGCAGAATATGTGCGTGGGCAATAACTCTTCCTCTTTTTAAAGTGTTCGATAGCACTTTCTGTTCCTCTGGAACATTTTTCATTTCAGTTTTTGGAAAAACGAGTCTCCGCAGGAAAACAAGTTAAATTTATTTTGATAATAATGACGCATTTGAAGACATGTTATGAACAGATTCTTCCTCCCAGTTCAGGAGGTTTCAGAGATGGATTTGCTTTGTGAAGGGGGGAAAAAACAAAACAGCCCTCAGTTTTGAAGCGGCAGCAGTAAATGAAGGCCAACCTGCACTTTGAAGTGGAGCAATTATTCCATCCATTCACATTTTATTCTGTCCCTTAAAGAAAAGATGGGAGTGTTTTTATTATTATATATTTTTTGCTGCCTGATTTCGTTAAAGCCGCTGCCTGATTGAAAGACTTTGAAGTTGATGTAAAAAATATGAGTGAATTATTAAATCTCAGCTTCATTTGTTTATTGGAAAAAAAGTCTATTAAAAATGCCTCATAATGAGTTTAACTTATTAAACTGATCAATGAAACCGATTTGTGAAAGGCCACTAATTAACGTTTTATTTTTTGCATACTAGAGCTTTTTTTTCTAGTTTTTATACCTTAATGGTATTTTATTGGTTCACTGTGAGCCCCGAGAGTCTTGTTGCACCCAGGTAATTGGGAAGTTGTGGTTAAATCACCATGGTAACTTTTTTAAAAATCTGGCTGTTATAAACGTCATTATAAGACCCTGAAAAACAGTCTGTCTTACTTTCCACTGAACAGGCTTTGTAGCCAAATGCGTCCTATTAAGTTTATACACCAGCCTGTAAAACGTGTGTGTGCTTTTGTGTGAGTTTGTATGAAACGAGAAGGAGGGGTCTTAACTTTATTTAATTACAGGACCCCTTTCTACCCAAATCAAGGGAGGAAGTCGTCCTGACTGGCAGTCTGGCTGAGTGTGGTGAGACTGGAAACAATAGTTTACACATTCAAAAAGCCCCCAAATATCCCAAACATCCGGCACAACTTGATGCTACAGAGGAACACATGAATCAAAACCTAGAGAAAACAGAAAACTGGGAAAAGGGATTTTTGTTTTACAGAAACAGTCAGAGTTAAAGATTTGTAAATCATATGTTTTTATATGTGCTGCCTCGTCTGCTTTGAAACGTGTGTACATCCCAACAAATTGTCGATTTACAGCAAACTTCACCGCCTTTTCTTAATTTTTACAAGTATGAGCGTTTCTGTGTGTTGATCCGGAGTTTTAACAGCGGCTCGTAAAATCCAAATAAATGTTCATAACTAAGTATAAAACAGTGCTGACAGCAAAATGTGCAGTTGGAGTGGGGAAGAAATGTTTCCTCAAGACCTGCTGTTACATTGAACACTTCTTATCTGCAGTCTAAGAGATCACAAGCTGTGTACAATAACATACTACTGACAAGTTTTACTGCATTACTACTAACTCTCTGTTGGTGCCGTTATTGCTTCTTTCTTAAAATATTCCTATTTTTCTTTCATCAGTCAACTTTCATCCTGATGCAGCAGTTCTGTTTGCATTACCAAAATGAGAAACATTTAATAAAGAAATAGTTMCTTTTTGAATGGCTCCAGTTTGYAGAAATTAACTTCAATTCTCATTGAACTGATGAGCTAATGGCTAGTCAGAGCAGGGCCAGGTCCAAAGGGGATGACTAATGTTATGAAACAATCTCAATCATATAAAAGCCATAGTGGTTTATGAAAAKATCTTTTACAAAATCTTCATYTTGTCTTCTGTTTACTTTTACACTAATTCTGTCAGAAAGATCATGAATACTGTTAGACTGAAGACAATTCAACCCTTTTAAAGATGACAATCTACTGTAGTATTGCTATTAGCTGTTAGCTCATCCGTCCATCTGAAACATCAACATATTAAAAACTAGACACAAGAACAAAATACAGACGTTGAAGCAAAAACAGCATGAGCGCCCCCTGGAGGGTGGTTCTGGTGTAGGTTAAAGTCAATGTGAATAAATTAAACATTTGATTAAATTTTTGAAAAATGGGACTTCTAATAGCTCACACAGTTCTCATATTTACATTTCAGATAGTATATTGTAATAAGTTTTTTGAAAGTTTAAAAACTCCTGTCACTGTGTATGAAAGTAGCCTCACATACTGAGTGCTCAGACTCTGACTCTAAAAATTTAAAATCGAACTAATTTAAAATCCAAAGTGTTTGATTTTTGCTTTAGCCATCCAAATCCAAAGTAAAATATTCGGTCAATGTTTTAATGTGCAGCGATGCCAGAAATGGCAGAAGTCYCCAAAGAAGAAGAGTTTACAGTGGCAGGAAGACTGCTTCAAAACTGAAAGTTCAGAAACCATTCCTAAAGATACAGGCAATGGCTGCACTCAAAGCTTATTCTGCATAACTTGGACTATTAAAGTGATTTTGTTCATGGCAAGATCATCAGCTCTTGATAAGATGCATCAACTCTATCTAAATYAGACAAACATATTGTGATGACCCTGTCAGGTGACAGTCTGAGCTGCTGCAGCAGGGGCGGATCCAATGCCTGGAGTGCAGCAGTAACACTGATCGGAAGCACCTGAAACTGCTTCTTCAGTCTATAAAAAGACTGAGGTGCTGCGTTGAGGCAGAGAGGGTGTTGTTGGGCCTAACCCTCCCCTCTCTCACTTTGGGCTTCCTAAATTTGTTTGGTTTGATCTATTTTGGTTAACTTAGATTTAGTTTGTTTAGGTTATTTCGATTGTTATACAGTAGTTTGGTCAATTTGTTATGGTTTGGTT